CCCCGGATCTACCGATTGATCTGTAGTGCTACCCAACGGCTCGGACCAAATACACACACCTCTTTTGAGTAGAAGACGCGCTCCATTGTTACACGACGGGAGGCACGCTCAAGCGACAGACTTGCCGGATTTTTACGCCAACAGTACTAATCACTATGCTATAAACCCATAGGTCTAGATTTTGTATTATCTATTTGTATGTATAGTATATTAATCATAATCAATATTATAAAATTTAGTTGAAAAGTATCTGTAAGAGCCAATCAAATTCAAGAAGATGATTCTAGAATCGATGATCGCTTTGGAAATATGTTAGGCAAGGCCTAGCTAGTTGATTATATCATCTGATTTTATTCAAAAAAGCGAAAATCATGTGATTGGAAATTTAAAGCCATTCGCACCATATAAATTACTAAGTTCACTCTATGACGCAATTTTACAATACGTAAGTGTAACCAATTTCCTACAATTACGCTTTTTCTGCTACGTTTTCGCTTTTTTTATTTTGCAAAAATTCATATAAAATGTCTCAGGACAATCAAGGCACAAACAATCCTCTTGATCCGGAAGTGTTATTATCAACACTTGAAAGTATTCAACTTACGAATGCCAAACAAGAGACCCTGGAAACTGTTCAACTTCGATCCGGTCAGGATGCTTTGGCGGCCATGTTTCATACTATAATGCATTCCTTGGGTTTTCGACTGGTCGGACTTGGCGAAAGGGACGAACCTGGTATATTCTTTACTTTTATTTATTTAGTCACGAAGTTTTATATTAAACGACACGAATTTACACAAAGTTAAACATTTCAGGGGATAATATAAATAGAGACAGTGAGGGTAATATAATAGGACTTCCGGAAACATGGAATTTACATGGACCACAATTATACGCATTTCGTTACAAGCACAATCAATCTTCGATAACATTTTTAATCAAATGCATTTCGTTGGGCAATAACTTTATGGTCCATGCAATGGGAATTGAGGTAGGAAGCCCATAATTAAATTATGTCCGTGTTCAAGTTTTTAAATTGATATCAATTTTATATAGGAGAATGAAGAAACTTCTATTAAACCAACCTCTCTTGAATTGGTCACGAGAGATTATACCCCCGTTTCCGCTTTTCCCTATATAGTCAACAATCAAAATTCCGAGCAGCTCGTGAACATTTTTATATCAAAAAATCGCATCAAGGATTTGGTCAGCCTTTACAAAATTAACATAGTTCAGAAATTGATACCGAACTTGTTCAAACCAGGCTATGAGGAAACGAGGTCAACGTGTGTATTCCACGCATTGTTATTGTTCATTCTATATTTTTTTTATTGATGCAAGTATAGTGCGACAACTACTAGTCGGTATAACGACAGATACCCACAGCATGATACAAACGATCCACTGCGCATTCCTTTACGTCGACCTCAGCACTTCCAGCCACCTATTTTTGGCGATCCTTATGGTGGCGATGAACCATTAAAGTAATAACAGTCTATAAGTTGCTTTTGAAAATCTTATTATATTGAAGTTGATAGTTTATTTCAATTTTTTTTACACAAATACAAATTAGTTATAATCCTCTGAGTGTTGGACGAAACGACCTTGATCCACTTGGTTCAAATCCAATTTTGGGGCCGCCAAGGTCTTTGTGATGTCCTGCTTCATTTAGCTTAATTTTTTTTTTTTTTTAATATTCAAGTGATTATATATCTAAATTAGATTCGGCGGCGGCGGTATTCAACCTTTTGGTGGTCCTAGTCGAGGTGGTGGATCGATTATGGGACCTGATCATCCGATATTTGATCCACGAGTCCCGGATCGAAACAGTGGCGGCATTCGTGGTGGACCGCAATTTCTACCTAGGTTTAAATGAGCTCATCTAAATTGTCCATTAAAATGCCTGTTTTTCATTTCCATTGAATTTGCAAAACCTTTTTTTTTTTTAGCGGAGCTGTCCCGCCTGGTGCAAGGTACGATCCTGTTGGACCGTTCGGTCCTTTATCAGGCCGTGGTGGTGGTAGATTTCCAAGGTAAAAAAAGTTTACTATTATTATGTTCACCTCGACTTCAGTATATTAAAATTTATTATTAAAATCTGGGCAGTGGTGAACCGAATAATGATGAATTACCACCTCCGGTAAGTAACTTCCTCCATTTTTTTGATTAGGAGTCATTAATGATCTAATTTTAAAAAATAAAATTTTAGGGTTACAACGACATGTTTATGTGATCTTTAATGAAATTAAACAAGTTACTTACAGTTTTTGCAAACTCTTAACCATTAAATCCTATCAATTATGCGAATCGCTCGAACTATTTTTTGTGTTGTTCTAAATTTCCTTTGACGTCATCAAGTTCTTTTGTGATCTTCTCCAGTTTATTTTTATATGTCACCACTTGTTCTTGAACTTTTCTGTAAGCCTCATCGATCTTGCGAAGTTCCTCTTGTTCTGCCTGCAGACCTATAAAATAAATATAAAACAAAAACATTGAGTTTAAATTGTGAAGAACTATAGTATATAAAACCATTTTTTAAACTGAACTGTAAGGTATATTCGGAGAAGTTCTGAGTGGAAGAGTTGGTATCGGATGTTGCGTCAGTATTTGATACAACGCTTCTGACGGATCAGTGAATACCTATGAATTTATAAATTAAATGATCAATGACTAAAAAATTATCCAATACACGATAATAATAAAAAGACTTTACGTACTAATTCATCATATTGAAAACTTTGAACTGGTTTATTTTTGTTCACGGTTGAAATTGAACCATCTTCTTCGTATGGATGAAGGCGGAGGTTATGATATAAAGACACATGCTTTTCGCCAGGTTCAACAAACTGAAGTTTTATTGAAAGTTCAAATTCCCCCCAGCCTGTTTCCGTAATTTCAAACGGCGGTTGTTCGACGACTATAAAAGAAAAGATAGAGATTAATTAAGCACTTGTAAATGCACCTAAAGAAGAAATCAAATAAATACCTCTTTGGGGATTTGAATAGGTTTCGTGTAACTTAAAAGTGACTTTTTTAACGAAATGACTTATGTCGGATCCGTTAATTCCTCTTACTGAAACAGTCCATTTGTGCGTATGATCAGAATCTGGAACTTTTTTCTGAGGAAGTAACGTTGCAACATTTCCATAAACTATAGGATAAACTACGGTTACACCCTGATTTGAAAAGGTAAGTATCAGTAACCTCTGGGATAGACCTTTTTTGTAATAATATTACGCACCTTTGTCCTCTTGGAAGACATTTTTTTTTAAAAAAAAGAAGAGATATTCCTGTGATTGTGGCGCGATCTCTGTAATGATTGACAATGCAGTAAAAAAAAAAGTTTTAGATTACAGTTACACGAGATTAAAGAATTTTTGTCATGTAACACCTGATCGGCATTGATTGCTTTCATTCGTCTTGTGAAATAATGTTTCGTGTTGGTCGTATCAATCGTTTCAATCCGATTGCCTTGAGAAAGGTTACTTGCAGGAATGTCGCAACTTCAGTTCCCGTAATTTCGGATATAGAAAAAAAATGGAAGTCACTTTCTGTTGATGAACAAAGTAGCATTTCAAAGCAGCTTGAAGAACTCCAAAAACAAGATTGGAATAAGATATCTGTCGAAGAAAAAAAAGCAGGTACATAGAGTTGATATTTTATTACTTGTAGTTCTAGACGCCTTTGACAATCTCTAATTCGAAAATTTATCCAGCATACTATATTTCTTTTGGCGCCCACGGTCCAAGAGAGCCACTGACAAAACCAGGCCATGTGAGCAAGATGATTGCTGCAGTTTCTGGTATTGTTGCTGTCTCTTATGGGATCTTTTACATGACCCGGAAAGCAGGTATGTGCATGAACATGTATCATTCAATCATTATTACTAGAAGAATACATGTTTTTACTTATATTATTATTCATATTTAGTCCCCGAAAAACCGGTGTCCCTAACCAAAGAATGGCAAGAAGCTACAAATGAAAAGTTGCTTCAGCAAAATATCAATCCCATATCTGGTATATCTTCTGAAGGATATAAGGGAAAAGGATATGTGACCGAGAAATAAGAATATTAATTAAACTAATTAGATCCTGACCAAATTTTAATAAATTTTATTGCTTTAGCAAATGCTTGCACGCATTAATGATGTTTACACTATTTAATACAAAATAACAAATTTTTAGTACAAAAATGACTTCTCATATTCTTTTCCTTAAATATTGACAGAATGCGAGATTGACGTCTAATTATAAATTTTCGACATCATGCGCTAACTTCTGGACATTCTTTACGGATATGACCTTCCTGTTGGATATCACAATATTCTTGATGAGCAATGAATGGAAAAAAAGAAACATTCAAAATGGAAATGGAGCCCACCTGTTGGCAATTATAACAAACTTTGGCGCCTTGTGCCTGATTGCAATCTCGGCTTCGGTGCCCGTGTTGACCACAATTGAAGCATTTCTGAGATCTCGAACAATCACTAAAAAAAAATGCACATGTAATTAATAAGTGATCGTCAATATATATAGTATATGATTTATTGACTTGAACTTGCCGTTGAAGATGACCGTAGCCTATGATAGTGTGGGTTAATTTTAGTAAATTGCCTAGTCTTTTAATATGATAATAATCAACTTTTGACATACCCCCACAGATGTAGCAAGCTTTTCCAGCATTGTAATCCTCACTTCTGCAATAACGCGCAATATGACCCGCCTGGTAATTTAAAAGGATCGACATAATTAGATTACTTGAAATCTCCAAGGATCATCATCATCATACTAACCTTTCCACACTATATAGTTCGTGTCATAAAGAAGTTTGGTGAAATTTAGTTATATGATCAGTTGGTGCACAAGAAATATATTAAGTCATTAACAAGCCTTGTGACAAGAATTATTGCGCGAGTAATCATCTCCAGAACGGTCGTTCATATCGCAATTGCGGGAGATATGACCAACCTACAAATAATAATTATAAATATCGAAACTTCCAAGATGGTTATCCAAATTTTACTTTGTACCTTCCCGCACTATAGAGAGATAAACATACGATCAGATCAAGAAGAGAGCGAAAAATATCTCATTAATCAAAACTTCAAAAAAATATTATATCACATTACATACTCTATAACATTCTTCTTCACTATAATTTTCACAATTACGAGCTATGTGTCCTGACTTTTTTTTATGAAGAATTTTTTTAAGAGCAATATACATTAAAATCGTTCCAAGAAAAGAAACGCACGATATAAAGGTACCTTTCCGCACTGTACATATTGAAACGATATCAACAATGGTATATGTAATTATGGATTAACACAAAAAAAATTATCTACCTACTTTGTAGCATTCAGGATTAGACCCGCGTGTGCTACGATAGTCCGATTTGTGATTATCTCCGTACATGTCGTCAGCATCGCAATTCCGAGACGTGTGTCCTCTCTACGAAAGTTTCGAGTTCAGTATCGCGAAAAATTAAAGGCGAACAGGTGAAGTATATTCTTTGTAACGTACATTGCCACACTAGATAAAGTGAAACCATTTTAATTGATAAAGAATAAGGTTATCAAGATAGTAAATTCATCAGATCCCGAACCTTGTAGCATTCACTTGACGTTCCCGAATAACAGTCGCGACTCTTGAATATAGGAAAAATTATTTATTTCTGGTGACCATAAAAGCTCAAAAAACCAGAAAACATTTTATTATTTGACATACCAAATGTCCAGATGCTCCACAAGAATAACATTTCTTTTCTTTTTGAGTTTCTTTGCAGTCACGACTGAGTTTTACTGCAAGGTTAATTCTGGACCATTAAGTTCACATTTTCTAAATTGGTCTTACCTGAAATGTCCTTCATTACTATTATTAGTTGTAAACGTTACGTAAGCTCAAGAAGTTACGTGCTCGTCCGCTCACTTGAGAGAGAAAATTGTACACATACCCACAGTTATAGCTAAGAGTTCATTTAGGATTAAAGTTTCGAAATGGAGTGTTCAGGTATACTTAGTTTTGAGGCTGACAACTTACCAAACAGCATTTGATTGCGAGCAATCTCGAGCCAAATGTCCAGCTGAAAGAGTACGCGAAAGTTGAATATTCGACAAAGTAATAAATAAAAAATAATTATTCACACAGTGTTATTATTTACGTTCACCACACTTGTAGCAATTGCTACCTCGTCCGCCTCGATTTGACATTTTTTCAAAAAGAAAAATACAAAATTGAAATTTCCTTATTTATCATACTTTGATGGGAACTAAAAAAATGAGGTCATTCTGTTTCATAGTTTCTACCAGAATTGTAAAAACGGTTTTACACTAAGATCACCCGTGACTTACATTCTTTATTACTGAGGGGTTATCCGTAATTTGGTATCGTAATAACAATAATATGACAAAAGAGGACAGAATGAAGAAGCAGCGATACGTGGGGGTCAAAGTTGATCAGTCATCGCTAGCGTCAGACGTGAGACCCATGAAAAGAACCAGACTCGAACAAGGTGCAGACAACGATTATGAGAATACAATGCCTTTGTCGTTCCTTAAGGCTCAAAACTATGATAGAGATCCTCAGCAGGTTTTATATCCTCGCCCTGAAGTGTTCACTGTTTCTCCAAGGCCTTCATGCAACGATGAACATAGCACCGCAAAATTCAATCGGGAACTCGTTAACAACGAGGCACGGAATTTGCTTTCAAGCGGAGGTTTACCCCCCTTTGTGTCGAATTTTCAACAACATTGCATTTTCATGTCACCAGGCTATAAAACTGAACAAATTATCAATCCCGTCGCTGTTTCGCTTCAAGCTAAATGTCTACCCTCAACAGGCAGCATTCCTCGGTTACAGACACGGCACTTGTCAGTTCCGGAAACCAGTGCACCACCAAAAAGTGTTATCATTGATTTGACCGAGAGTGATGATGATGATAATGATTGTGTAATCAATGAGGATGAGACGAATAGAAATCTATGTTGGGGAATGATAGAGACCTTAGCATTGATTCTATACCAAAGGCAAAGTAGCAACCAAGAAGAAGAAGTGGTACAATTGAAAAGGGATGGCGTTACATCAAAAAACCAAGGTCAATATAAGTTAACACAATTTTGATCGCTATTTTGGAACACCTTGAATGCAATAATGAACTTGGATTTGAATTTCAGCCATAATTCGGGTGGCTAAAAACGGCGAATTGGTGAGTTTGTGGGTTGCATTCAAAAAAAAATTTTTTTTTTTAATATATTCTTTTTAGAAAATTCATCTATTCATTATGTTCTAATTATTTTCTTTCGACTCATTAGTTTGGAGTGGTTAAACAGGAAATTGCCAATGTGTTGGCACCGTTGATGGATGAAAATCTTATTTGGACGGAGGCCTTCATTAGGAACTCTCCTACGGTAAACCTCATCTGGAAATGTGTTTCCCACTGAATTACATGTATACATATATTAATCTGCATATACATTGTAGGGAATGATGATGCCCCTTAAAATTATTATTTATGGTCCTCCTAGGAACACCGAGATCGTGAGCACACATTTGTATGAGCGAAGCGTGTTCTTGTCTAAACCTCCTGTGTTCGATGGGACCACCCGATATTTGAATCCTCACAACTCACTCCCTGGTGGCTCTCATTTTAATAAAAAAAATTTGCCTTATTCTTACAAAGATTATCACGGAGGTTCAGGAATGACCACCACTAGGTCGTTAGAGGAAACAAAGAACCAAATTGACAAGGTTTTCAATTCATTGATGAACGCCGAGAATATTCCGGAGCAACAACCTGGCAAGAAGGATTTAGTGACTCCCTATTTTCATTTATTGTTGACGTTGAGGTATAACCTTTATTGTTTTTAGATTCTCGCCTAATAACACCTTTATATAAGCATCAAAAGCAAGCATTATATTTCCTCATGGAACGAGAAAAATACAATGATTTTACCAACGATGAGACCAATGCCTTGACTTCTCTTTGGCGTGCCAGAACGAGTGCTGGTCGTCATACAGTATATTATAATGTGGTTACAAATGATGAGATGGAAAAAAAGCCTGTTCAGATGAGAGGCGGCATTATTGCTGACGATGTGAGTATATAAGATAGTTAAGTAGATAAGTTTACACGTTCCGTTCAATGGAAATGTGCCAAGGTATCGCTTGACATCTTGTACCGGCTTGGTGCATTCCTGTTGAACATATCTTGGTTTTTTATATCTTTTTGCACATGCATAATAAATCGTCTAAATTACTAGATGGGACTCGGCAAGACCATACAGATTATTGCATTGATTCTTGGCACCCAAAAAGAAGCCATTGATTTTTCTAAAAAGTCCACGGAGCACATCTTCGAACAATCGAACGGTCCAAATACTCATGATTTATGTGGGATTTTGAACGATCAAAGTCCTGCAAACATCTCCGTACAGTCTAAATCGGACTCTCCAATAAAATCTAGGGGCACCCTAATTGTATGTCCTCTGTCAACTGTATCAAATTGGGAGGATCAAGTGATTAGTCATGTTCAGCAAGGTTCCCTGAGATTTTATGTGTACCACGGAGGAGCACGTGTTTCCGATCCTTCTTTGTTGGTAGATTACGACATTGTAATCACAACGTACAATGTGTCCGGAACCGAGTTCAGCAGGGAAACAAAGAGTCAGATACCTAGCGCTTTACAGAGGATCCATTGGTTTCGTGTTGTGTTAGATGAGGCACACATTATTAAGGACGTGACTACAGTGCAGAGTAAAGCTGCATGTTCCTTAAAGGCCGAGCGTCGGTGGTGTTTAACGGGGACTCCAATTCAAAACAAGTAAATCCTTCTTGGTCAATTTTCGTGCTATTGGTCAACTACATGTATCAATCATTTTTGATATTTGATCTCATTGTTCAGGGCGGATGACCTTTTCGCTCTTGTTAAATTCTTACGCATGGTTCCTTTTAATACTAAAGAAAATTGGACTAGTTATATATTACGTCCAATCAGGTCATTTGACCCTGTTGGTATAAGTCGACTACAAACGCTAATGAAATGTATTACCCTTCGGCGGACAAAAATGCTTAATGGGAAGTCTTTACTCTCTTTGCCGCCAAGAAATGATCACATACGATATCTCGAATTGAATGAATACGAACGTAAACTATATGAAAAAACGCACCGCCTCCAAGCTGAACAATTCAAGAGATTAGAAGGAAATAACATAATGCAGCACTATGTGAACTTTTTACAATCTTTGTTGAAAATGCGCCAGATATGCGCTCATTTTGCTTTAATCAAGGATTCTGAATTGCAGAACGATCTCGAGGAGGAAAAAGCTACCGATGGCTTGACTTATTCAAGGGCAATGACGATACTCAACCTTGTTAGAGAAAGCGGGATAGACCAATGTGGGTCTTGCATGCAGGATTTAGCCTATAAATCTATTATGACGAAGTGTGAACATTTGTTTTGTATGGAATGTGCTACAAAGGTTATGGGTTATGTGGTAAATTCCGAGGTTGATAAAACAACTGCTGATTTACGAAACTTGCAAGGAACAATTACTTGTCCTTCATGTGGACTGAGCTTAGAGCCGTCGGATATTATTGAGGTCAGTGATTCGAAGGAATATGAGAATGATAATTCGAGGGTCAAAACAGATAAGAATTTACATAGCACCAAGGTTAAGGCTTTGGTTGAGGACTTGATTCAGGCGAAAATTGATGGAATTAAAAGTGTTGTGTTCTCGCAATGGACTAGAATGTTGGATTTAATTGAGGTTTGCGTGGAAGCTTTCACTTTTCTGACATGACACCATGTTCTGGAAATATACAACTGATATTAAAATAATTATTTTGATTAAGGACGCTTTGCTTGAAAATAAAATAACTTTTGCCCGACTGGATGGCACCATGGCCCGTGCTGAGCGTACCCAGAACATGGAAAATTTCAGGAAACAGGATGATGTCAGCGTGATTCTCATTTCACTGAAAGCTGGAGGTGTTGGGTAAGAACCGATCAATTTCACCGATCAAGGTCTTGTTAATCTGACATTTTACCTATGTAGGTTGAATCTAACTGTTGCACAACGGGTGTACCTCATGGATCCTTCTTGGTAAAATTAGGTTATTTTTCATAAATCAAATTTTTTTCGTTTACCTTTAATGTAACTATTTCACAGGAACCCATCGGCAGAAAATCAGGCGATCGACAGAATTCATCGTTTAGGTCAGACTTGTGCAGTAGATACCGTCAGATTCATCATTCGGGTAGGCCAACTTACAATTTTTATCTATAAATAAATAATTTTTCTCGACATTAATAGATTTCCGTTTTAAATAGAATTCCGTAGAAGAATTCATTCTAAAAAAACAGGAGCGCAAACTTCAACTTGCGGAATTGACACTATCAGAAAAACTAAGTAAACAAGAAATTACGAAGATGAGGATGATGGATTTGATATCTTTATTTAAATAATTTTCAGATGTAGATAGGTTGACAACCACCTTAGTTAAGAATCTTTCCATTATACAAACAAATCAATAATTACTTGACGCAAGCAAAAACACCTATAACACTTTCAATTTCATGATGAAAATTTTTCTACTCCAAACAATTTTAGAAACAAGCTACTCACCTTCACGCTATAATATAATTGTTCAGCAAATCGTGAGTTGAAGTGAGTGAAAAAAAATTAGAAAATTTTAATAAGTTGAATAGAATGCTAAAAAACTCATGCACGAAATGTCTGAAAGCTTCTGTAATCTAGTTAAAAGTTGTTTTAGAAATTAATGTAGTGAACCATTTGCCAAACCTACTAAGCATGTAAACATCAATATAAAATTATTTTGTCAACTTTCGAACAGATTATTTATTTTAATACATGCCTCAATTCTATATACTGACATTGTTAAAAATGACTGCTGGGAGTAATCTCATCGGAAATATACTAAAATATTTGTTTATACTTTTAATCTAAAATGAATAAATTACAATAAAAATCCGAAAAAAAATATTTTTTTTTTGATTAAAAAATGTCAAGTTATTGACCAGATACACAACATGCAAAACCACGAAGACCTCGCTGAGCATTACTTGCAAAGGTATGATATCGCGGATAAATAGAATTTTTTTAGTATAGTGATAGTAATACTATACACGCACACCATGATCAAATTACTAAATGAATCAAATTCCAAGGGGATAGAAAGTGATGTTTTTGTTCACCGAAATTTTTAGGAACTAAATACTATATAGCCTGTGTACCAAAAAAAAAAAAAAAAATGAAATTGAATGAAAGAAAAAGTGATATATAAAGTTAAAATAGTGGAAGAATATGAAAGTGAGGAAATTACGAAAGCTAAAAAAATTTTTGCAAATGACTAAAGTTCGGAATCACATTCAAGGTGAATGAAGAAGAACGATTAGTATATTAAAATAATAAATTCGAAGTATCGAGAACTTTATTCAATGAAGCAGATACTCTCCGTACTTTACGAAAGAAAATGTATAGCACACTCTAAAGAACAAGGTCACGCTTAAAGCATCTTTATTCTTGTCCGAATCCCATAGTTTCTTCTACCGCTACTGTCAACTTAGATACCAACCTATAATATTTAAAAATTATGAGGAATAAGTATGCATGAAAAAATTCAATAGATCCGTGAATTTTTAAATTACTTACGTTTCATATGTCTTGTATTGTGGCAGGTCAATACGATTAAAACTATGTCAAAGGAACACTATGAGTAAGTTATTCAAAAAAGCTTAAGAAAAAAAAACGCGGGCTTACCAAGTATGACTTTTCGGCAATTGAGACACATCGCCCGCTTTCTCTATAGTAAACCGCCGAGGTCCATCGCTACCTTGCAGATCTTTGAAGCCGTTGACAGGGAGGCGAGATGTACCGGTAGTGAATTGTAGTAACCGAGATTTCTTTTCGGAGTCCCATGACTTTACACACTAGAGTTGAAAGAAGTCAAAAAAAAAAATGAATATTTGCCATAAGACCTATAACAATAAAATCCGGATACACAAACCTTCCAGAACCATTGTATAACATCGTCTGATTCCGTATACCCTCGGTAATCGGTATGTTTTTTCCAATCATCGACGTCAATTTCAGCGATACCTCCAATAAGTAACTGGAATTATAATGGATAATTTGTTTCAATCATGGTATTTCCAGGTCCAAATATGCCATGGATTTTTCCTGCGTAGCGATTTTATTAACGGACTAGTACGAGACTCATATTGAACTATTTTTGTTTCAATTTTTTTAAAAAATTTTTTTTCTCTAACCTCTAATTCACGCTCATCAAATACAGCAATCAAATCCTGCGGTATAAGCTGATTAAATCCTTCCATAAAGCTCTTAAACTGTTCTTCGATACGCTTAGAAATGCGCCATTCGGTAATAAGACTAAGCAACCGTAAGGTAAATTTATCAATTGAAATAAAAAAATTTCTTATAAAAACCAGTCAGAACTCTTAATACGTACTCAATGTATTCCTTTTTATTTTCTTCTTCCACCGGGATATTCCGACCATTTTCTTTTAAGTCAACCGTTACCACTTCACCGAACCGATCATCTTCAGTCGAGAATGTTAAATCCAAAACATCTGTAATGTCATTATCCCTGAAATATTGAAATATATAAAAATTGAAAATAAATAGATAGGTAAAATAAACACTATCGAAACGAATAACACACTCACAGGGCCCAAGTCAAACTTCTATAAAAATCTGCGTCTACACTTTCCATGTCCGGCAGGCCAACCTTTTTCTTTAGGATCATTTTGTAGAATGATCTAATGAAAAAGGCATCTAAAAACCGACGATGAAAAATGGCAAGCCCGACAACTCTCCCAATGAATTTAAAGTAGTTAAGATGTTCAGGATTGATCCCCGAATGAGGATTGATTTGGAGAGTATAATTATCATGTGCGGAATATTCGAAAAGACAATAAAAAGGATTGAACATTTCATGAGAAAGAAGAAAGAAGAATTCCCTAATGGGTTGTTTAAATTCGTCAATGACTCGTGTAAGAAATAGAAAAAGTTCAAAAAAGCTTTATCACAAAATACCTCGATAAGCCACCATAGTCTAATCCGTCCTCTCCATCAAATTTGATCATTAGGCGTTTTTTTAAATCCTGAGGTTGTTGTCGCATGATTTCCGAGTAGGCATCTTCAAAAATAAAATTTCGTCGAATTTTAATGTGACACTGACCAGGAACAGGTCGGAGTGCTGGTTGTGATCTAAAATATATGAGCTTCCTACGAAAATCTCGTTTGTATTGAGGCACATTTTGACTGATTAAATAAATAAATAAATAAATAAATAAAGATTCGTTGAAAAGATTCAAGTACAATTTCCAAAAAAAAATCCACATACTCTAAACTACTAGGTAATCGTGGATCGTCCCAAGTGGTTGTTTTTGTATTATGATCTACGAAGTACACTCTAGCCGTATTTGTCAACCGCATTTCCCATCCAGACGGCAGTGGACCTAATTGAGATACTGGTTGCTGCTGAATAGTAACATTATTTTGATTTCCTGCGTACATCCTAATAAACTGTTGTCGACGAGGATCCACCCAAGTTGTTGTCCTGGTATTGTGATCAACAAAATATGGTCGACCTTCAGGCGTTGTCCTTTGTTCTTTCGTATCATTTTTTTTTTTTTAAAAAAAAAAAACACATTAACAAACAAAAAATAAATGAATAAAACTATATTCCTTTTTTATTTGCATACCCCATCCGGAAGGCAACGGACCGTGACCAGCCGTCGTAGTTCCAACTTGTCCAACAGGTAGCAAACCATTTGTAGGAGCACTGCTTGTGGATGCTTCACTTGAAACAGATGTTGAAGAGCTGTTACCAGCCTCGGGAAGTGTTCGATTATTATGTCGACGACGTTCCAATTCTGTTATATTTTGTTGCTCTTGCATCCGCTGAGTAGCCGTTGCAGTCATTGATGGTCTGGTCCAAGTAGTTGTACGTGTATTATGATCGACATAATAAGTACGACCAAGATGATCAATACGACGTTCCCAACTAAATTGTTATATTACATTAATTCATTAATATGAAGTTTTTTTTATAAAAAAACAAGTAAAAATTTTTAAATTGTGAAATTTACCCAGGTGGTAACGGTCCATATTGATCTTCGAAGGCACCAAATGTACGCGCACTGGAACTGCTCCCAGACGCTACGCTAGGTCCCGCCACAGGAATGTTTTGCGAACTAGTTCCCACTGTAGGAGTTGAGCTACTCATGCTTTGAGGTCGTGAGTTTTCCGCTCTTTGATTTGAACTAAGAGAGGAATCGGAAGGAGGAGTATTGATGCTATTTGTATCTCTTACCCCAGGATGGGAAGAAGGTACGCCTAGATTTGTGGATGCCAAATTGTCTCTCACTCCGGGATGAGAAGGGGGAACATTTACATTTGTGGACAGGTTAACGATAAGTCTTCCGTGTACCACTTCATTTGCATTTGACTTTTTTAAATCTTTTGTCAACATTTCTAATAGATTTGTAGATAAGAATATAGTGAATCGGAAGAGGTGGTATAAAAAATGTGAAACTTCAATTCATTTTCACTTACCATCACCTCCGATGTTAAGATCATCAAACACCTCGCTTATTTGGATATTAATTACACCTAAAAATCCCTGATCTTTCTTCTTGAATTTTTTTTGATCAAAAATTTGAACGGCAATTACACTCTGACCCGTTACTAGTCTGTAAATTCATAAATTATTAATATCTTTACATGAAAAAAATTAGCAATTTATGATCTGCTTACATATCAAAGCTTTCATTCCAGTATGGATTCAAGCTCCTCTTAATTACGGAAGTGGTGTGTGTTTGTTCTCCATCAACGGTAACAACTGCAAAAGGATCCGGAAATCCTATTAAGCGGACGCAATTGAAAACAGTTTAGACTACACGCAAGTTAAATCTTGTAAAGTGACATATTCTGAAATTACATACGAAACACATCTCTCTTATATAGGCCATCTGCCGCAATGACTAAGTAAATGTAAAAATATTAAAAATCAATATACTTATGTCATCTGGTGAACTGCAATTTACGACAAGAGACCCTTTCATGCACCTGTTAAGCGTATTTTCCTTTATGAATTTAAATTTATGAAAAAGTTATTATTGTCGTAAACGAAAAATTAAAACAAGCAATTACTGATTATTGTAAAGAGTTATAAATAAAAAGGCATTCCACTCAGGAATCATACTAACGTTTGTTGATTCGACATTGTCGTTTAATTGGTACTACGATTTTCCACTATAGCACTCTTGTATAGTTTAAAGTAATATTTTTGAAGAAATTCTATTATAAAGAATTTATTTAAACAGGTTTCGCTTGTGGCTACTCCTGTTCCATCAACTCCGCCTAAAAATAACTAAAATTATGACCAATCAATCTCCGTGAACTATTCCCTCTAAAAGGAAATCTTCGAAAATCCATTATGCTACCACGTGATAGAAGATTATTACTATTTTCAAGTTCAATATATTAAATTAATTAATCCATAAGTAAAAAATATGATTTTATAAACACTTGTCTATAATAAATTATTTTAATATAATTTTATAATTATAACTATATATGTATTCATATTACTATTAAAAAAGCAATTTTTTATATATACTTCCTGGCCAAAAGTTTAGAACCATCTAATAAAATTCAAATTATTGTAATTAATTTATTATTTATAATATAATATTATAATAAACTTTTTATTAAAATTATAATATTAATAATTATATATTAAAAATATATAAATTAATAGTACAGTAAATAGTATTTTCAAATATTCAAATATATGTTCTTAGTTTAATATCCACAGGAAACAAAAATATATAAATATTTTTTATATATGAATTTATTAAATATTTTACTTATATTGTACTTAATTTTTCTTAAAAACTATTTATATATAAATTTATTGGTTATCTTATACAATATATATTATATTCAATTATCCGAATTTTAATTAAATTTAATTAAATTGTATAAAAATAAAATCTTTAGTTTTCTTGATAATCACATGTTAAAAAACAGATTGAAGTAAAAAAAATTATATAAAAAAAAACTTTTGATTTAATTACAATAAAAATTTATAATTGCAATTAATATAATAAATAATCTGTAATATAAAAAATACTTTAGTTTAAGATTATTTTAATTTAATACTTGCTTAAAGTATTGTACCTTGCTTTGCAAGTGAAAGTATAATAAATATAATAAAGTGTGATAGCCATTTGCTTTTTTCAAAAAAAAAAAAAAATAGTTATTGTTAAAAACTTTTTCCCACCTCCTTTCTACACTTGAAAATTTCTTTTTTAAGAAATTTTTGAATTGCTCACTTTTTTTTTTGTCTTTTCCTTTCCCTCTCTTTATGTTCCCTTTTCATATCTCTTTATTTCCCTTTCTTTATCTTCTCTTCTCTCTTTTATATACTTTTTTTATATTTTATACCTTTTCTTTTTTCTTTTTTCTTTTTTTCTGCCAAAACTAAGTTTTTCTTTTTTCTGAAGGTTTTTCTCTTTAGCCTTCTTTCTTTTTTGAAAATTCCATCTCCATAACATCACTTCTCTGATCAATTAATTCCCTCTTCTCAAGGATTATATTAAGAAGCAATAACTTTTCTTAGGATGTGGGCTTTAGAAAATTTTTTTTTTCCATGGTTTCTCAGAAAAAGAATGAATAGTTTATTTCTTCCAAAAGATTGATATAGTTATTATTATCAAATTTGACATTGTTTATTAATCAACAATTTGACTAAATATACTTAAGAAACCTCTGTATAACTATTATTATCTGAAAGTACTCAAGGAATTGTACTCTACAGTATCCAGAGTAAAATGATAGCCAATGTCAATATAACTAACAATAAGCTAGATTAGTTGCAGGTGTTATACTGATAATTAAAGAACTTAATAAGATAATATGTAACAATCAGAAATTCTAATTATTTCCAAAAATAAGTTAATAATAATAACAGAAGTTCCTTGCTTATCTCCTCTCAAACAATATAGGTCTATTGTACAAGGTTAGGTTCTGATACTATTAAAAAAATCAATATAAACTCCATCTATAGGACACTTCCACCACACTTGAAGCATGGGTGCACCAAATTCTTTTTGTAACTTGAAGGCAAACCTATATAAAGTGACTATAGTGCCTTCATGCAAAAAGATATTTACTTTCCACCACCTTCAACATTATTCTGCTTGCTGTATATCAAGCTATATTTGAAAAGCAGGTGTACCAATCCTAATCATGACTTGGAATCCAACCTGTATAGATTGGCTGCAATGCCTTCATGTAATTAAGTATTCATTTATTTTTAAGTAATTAGATACCATTTAAGATAATAATATAGATTTTTGAATTTTTTTTTTCTATATTTCTTAAATGATACCAAAAGAGCATAGGGGTTGGGCCTCTTATAAAAGCTTTGCATTAAACTCTTTCTAGCAAAGAAAGATATATGTCATGCTATTGATATTATATCTTGTTTTGCAAGTGAAGATATAATAATATAATAAAGCATAATAGTCATTTGTTTTTTTCAAAAAAAAAAAAGATAGCTATTGTTAACCTGTAGGTCTATATTGCAATAGTTAATACTTCACAAGTCAGATCACAAGATATTGGTTCAACTCCATATAAAGATAATTGAATAAAACCTACATAGTATTTGATATTATAATCTGTTATAGATGTTTTTTATATAAAGTTGATTTATATACTGATCCAGTAAATGTAAAGATTGTGATTTTTAATTTAGATATTGTAATGTATTAATTATCTGATTAATATTATAATAATCAAGATTATGTTTAATATATTTTCAATTTCTATATAGGCCATTTTTCTTTTCTATAGTTTACATTATAAAAAAAAATCTGTTAACTTGATTAAGCAACTTTGAAGAGAATCACTATATAAATATAATTATATAAAACTATGATTTTGAAAATTGAAATTAAACAGAATCACAAGAAATTGCATGAGGTTTGAAATACTATTAAAAATAATAGTAAGATATATTTTATCTATTAAATTTAATATAAACTTGAGAATCCAATACAAAATTAAAAAGAATTATTAAAATCCTTATGTAAAATACTGCTTGAGCTACTTTACAAGAATTGTATTTTGTTTAATATTTGTATTCCTAGATTTGGCAGCCAATATCAATTAAGAGTTTTATAAAGTATTTATTAAAAAATTTAGGAGTTATGTCTCATTAGGCCTGATAGTCTTCAGATTTAGTAATGTATATTAACTATAGAAATAACTTTTGAAGCATTTACTAGAAAGTATAAAGAAGTAAAACCAAAGTATCACAAAAAGTATAAGTCAGAAAAGAAAATATGATAAGGACCCTAGTGACAGTTAATAGAATATACCCTTAGAATCAATTATGCTTGATATGTAAACCTATTCATAAAGTATAAGTTGATATAAACAAATTAGAAAAAAAGATAGATGCTAAAATAAAGTTAGCTAAAATAGTTTGTTTTTTTTTTTCAATAGATAAATATCATTTCTTTTTTTATTGATATTATACTTAAAGTTATATATTATTAGTAAGGAAATTGCTTAAATAAGGCCTGGAAATATGACATTCACATCATACGTCTAATTGAAATAATAAAAATACCTTAGTAATTATTTAGATAATGTAATTAGAAGTTTATATAGTTTATATAGTATGATAGTTTATGAGTCATGGTGATAGTCTTATAGCAGATAGTCATGGTAGTATAAATAGAAATAACAAAAGTGCAAAAGAAAAAAAGGAGAAATTCAGACAATAATAACAATAACACTAACACTAACTTAATTTAGTAATAATAAATTATCCTTCTAATAGAAGTGTGAAATGGTTGTGTGAGTGTTAATTAAAGATTACTAAAAGTGGTGATATTATAGATGCACTTAAAAAGGAAATTGGTAATTAACCTCTTTTTAGAGTAATGTTACTGTGAGAGGATCATTTTGGTAGTCACTAAAAGGAATAATGACTTAAACAATCGACGAAAGGTGACAAAAGAAAGAAGAAGATTAATTATAGGTTCAAGATCGGTTAAATCAAATCCATACCTCAAGTAGAGAAAAGAAGAATAATCTACCTGACGTTATGCAAGTTTGATCTGCTCCAAGCAACAGACTTGCTGTTTCAATATCAACAATATACTTGTGAAAGAAATAATATCTCTTGGATGCAAAAAACATATAACAAGTTAAATGTTAGCTTGCCTATCCATCTATATCTAGTTAGCTAGAATAGTTAGTTAGATCTTTTATATAATGATTATAACTTCAATATTAAGTTAATAAATATTTGTATATAATATTATTAGAAAAATTTTTTGCAAAAAAACTTTAAAGATTTTTGTTTTTAAAAAAGTTTTTGCAAATTTCTAAAGTAATATTTCAAAGATCTTTGAAAAACTTTAGAAAAAATTAATAATGAAATAATTTGAAGATCTCTGGAATAATATTAAATAAAATATTAACTTTCAATATTTTACAAAAATTAAGATAATTTATTTGAGTACTTAATAAAAAAATGTTTTTATTTCAAATAAGATCTCTTTAATATGGCAATCAGATTTCTATGTTGTTCTGAATTATTTAGCATATAATTAAGTGTTATATTAGCAGACATTACAAATAGATTTTGAATTCTTATGAATTTTTTAAAATTAGGAATTTTTGAATTTTTACATTACTTCAAATAAAGATAGGTCCTTAAATTAAAAACAAGGATATAATTTAAATATAAGGTTAAAAAAAAATTACAAAAATTTTTTGCAATTTAAATTACTTAATCCAAGTGTTTTTTAAATTATGTCTCTATTAAAGTAATAAATAAATAATTATGTTTTTTTAAAAGGAATATAATTGATTTGTGAAATTTTATATACTAAATAATTTAAGGACCTATTCTTAACTCCAAAGGTTTTTTGGTTCAATTAAATTAGAGTAAAATTTTGTTTCACATATTTTTTCTTAAATATATAGTATAAATTAATTCGTTTTTATATAAATTTTTGAATTACTTTAAATATTTTTGAAGTTTTATTCTTTTTGAATTATATGTAATATTTAAAATGCTTTGAAAATTATTATTATTTTTTGAATTTTATAATATTTAAAGTTTTTTTAAATTTTATAAGTATTATATAGTATTATAAAATTCTTTAAAAAAAATTAAAAATTTTATTAAAAAATAAA